TTCTAATATTTGTTGATGTTTCTTTTTAAGTTCTTCAATATCTTTATGGTGCAGGGTTTCAGCACGATTGAGAGCCTCTTCTACTGCATCTTCTTTTGCTGTTTCAGCCTACAAAACAGGCCATGAATAGGAACAGTTGGCTAATACAACTATGCTAAAGACACCACACAGGACTGATCACACAGTACAATCTTAATTGCTAGGATGGCTTTTTAGCAACAGAGTTGTGCTTGTTAATGGAGTTGATTCTTCTCCCATTGTGTTCTCCCCAACCTGTTCTAGATGGGTTGTTCAAGAAGGAAAAGTGTTATTGCACAAGCAGAAGTCAACTCTAACCCCAGATTTGTTACAGTGGTCCTCGACTTACAATCATTTGTCTAGTGTCCCTTCCAAATTACAACAGGACTGAAAAAAGTAACTTATGACCATTTTTCACACGTACGACAGTTTCCTCGGCAAGGGTGAAATGCTCCTGGTTCGGACCGGATCACCCGATCCGGTAATGATGGAGGCAGGTGGTTCAGTGAACCGGTAGCAAAAATCCCTGCCCCACCCCCCCATGCCCAGCTGAGCCCCGCAATCATCAGAGGCTTTTTTTTTTTTACTTTTAAAAACATTTTTTCTACAACCTCTTCGGCCGAAAAAATGCTTTTAAAAGTAAAAAAAAAAAAAGCCTCTGATGATCGCGCAGCTCAGCTGGGATTGTCAAAGGCTTTTAAAAGAAAAAAAACCCGATCCAAGCTGAGTTGCCTGATCGTCAGAGGCTTTTTTAAAAAACTCAGCTAGGATCGTCAGAGGCATTTAAAAGAAAAAAACCCTTTTTTTCTTTTAAATGCCTCTGATGATCCCAGCTGAGTTGCCTGATCGCCTCTGCCGATCAGGCAACTCAGCTCGGATCGTCAGAACCTTTTGAAAGCATTTTTTTACAACCTCTTCGCCGAAGAGGTTGTAGAAAAAATGGTTTTAAAAGTAAAAAAAAAAAATTGGCCATGTCCACCCAGTCACATTACACCCCCCCCCCAAGCCACACCTACAGAACCAATAGTAGCAAATTTTAGATTTCACCACTGGTCCTCGGGCTATGTGATCACCATTTGTAATCTTCCTGGCCTGCTTCTAACAAATGTGGAAGAAGCCAGATTTGCCTTGTGACTGATGATTCACTTAACAACTGCAGTGATTTGTTTAACAACTGTGGCACAAAAGGTCATAAGATGGGGCAATACTCACTTAACAACTGCCTTGCAAAGCAATGGACATTTTGGGCTCAGTTGTGATTGTAAGTCAAGGAATACCTGTAATTCTTCATAACTTGGGAAGAGCATAAGAATAGCCCTCTGGAAGCAGGCTTATTTTGTTTTATTATTACTAATATTTGCATCCCTCTGTGCTTCAGATAACTCCAGTGCTTCCTTTAAACTTAAAATGAAGTTAATACAATAAAATTCTACTTCATGTATATTGAACACCTCAGATAATGTTCTAAAAAGTAAAATTAATTGCCTAATGGGAAATGCAATTGAGAAGTTGGAACTTTAACCATGTGGTCTAGATTTGAACTTTTATTGTCACTCTTTGGGAAGAAATCCATAGGATATTTAAATCAAAGGTTATTGCTTAAGGACAGATAGCATTCAGATTCTATCAATATTTTTTTTGGATAGGCAAAATACTTTTATAAAAAAGATTATCACATTAAAAAAAAAAGATGTTGAGACTCTGGAAAGAGTGCAGAGAAGAGCAACAAAAATGAGTAAGGGCCTGGACACTAAAACATATGAAAAACGGTTGCCGGAATTGGGTTTGTCTAGTATAGTAAAAAGAAGGACTAGGGGCAGTGGTGGGATTCAGCCAGTTCGCACCACTTCGGGAGAACCGGTTGTTAACTTTCTGAGCAGTTTGGCAAACTGGTTTTTGGAAGAAATCATTAGGCCAGAGAACCGGTTGTTAAATTACTTGAATCCCACCACTGACTAGGGATAACATGATAGCAGTCTTCCAATATTTGAGGGGCTGCCATAAGGAAGAGGGGGTCAACCTATTCTCCAAACACCGGAGGGCAAGACAAGAAGAATTGATTCAAACTAATCAAGGAGATAAGCAATCTAGAACTAAGGAGAAATTTCCTAACGGTGAGAACAATTAATCAGTGGAGCAGCTTGCCTTCAGAAGTTGTGTCTGTTCCACCACTGGAGGCTTTTAAAAAGAAACCGAATACCCACTTGTCTGAAAAGGTATGAGTCCTCCTGCTTGCACAAGGGGTTGGACTAGAAGATACTAGAAGACCTCCAAAATCCGTTCCAACTGTGTTAGTATTAAACAACATTAAGACAAATCTATACCTGATTTGTACCAGTACTGCTGATATACCTATGACACTTATTAACATGCATCACAGGAAAATCTGCATTATATAGTAAACATTAGGAAGGTTTATATTTAACATGACAGAGGAATAGTTTTACCTGAAGCAAGAGTTTAGTCTGCACTTTATCTATTCGTTTTTGTATTTCCTGTTCTCGTTGGTCTATATCTTCTTGCTTAAGGTCTGCGCCGATCTCTATATAAAGCAATATAGTAATTGAAGGCCACAGCATATATTATATTTGGATTATGTAGCTCAAACATTCCATAAACTAATCAAGTTTAATTTAAAAGCGTTAGACCATTACCATCATTTTGTGAAGACTAGGTGCACAATCAAACGTGCCATACTTATATTAATTAAACTAATTAATTCTTATATTAATGTAAGAAAAGTTCTGTGTGTTAAAGCTGCTGTTCTCTGATTAGGCTCAATAAGAATTTAACCCAATAACGTAGGGAAATAGCAATAGCACTTAGACTTGTATACTGCTCCACAGTGCTTTACAGCACTCTCTGAGCGGTTTACAGAGTCAGCATATTGCCCCCAATAATTTGGGTCAATTTTATTGATCTCGGAAGGTTGAGTCAACGTTGAGCCGGTCAGGATCAAACTCCTGGCAGTGGGCAGTTTCCTGTAATACTGCATTCTAACCACCATGCTACCACAGGTCATAACTCCTCTATCTCTATCCTAAAGATTCCACATTTTATCTTATCTCAGCAGACTATATGGCAATAGCAAGATAAATCCGTACAGATATTTACAATGTACCATTTGTTGCTGTTCCATCTATACTGATGAAGGGATCATGACAGAGTATTCCATCTAAAGCAGGGGTGTCCAGGCTTGGCAATTTTAAGACTTGTGGACTTCAACTTCCCTAGCTGGCTGGAATTCTGGGAGCTGAAGTTCTCAAATCTTATTGCCACTCACAATCTAGTTTTATGCAGATAACTTCAATATCTGAAGCAGGCATTCTACATTGGTGGACAACCAGCAGTGAAGGCATCAAGCTTGCTCTCGTTTCCTTTCCAAAGTGATCAGAAGAAAGATCACATAGGCCAGAAATAATAATCATGTGATGCAAATATTATACCATAGAAATTGGACATAAATAAGTACTTTAGTCGTAGCCCTAATTTTGTCATGGATGGGTTGAAAGGGCAACATTTAATAATGTGTAATTGAAAATCCAAGCATTAGGCATACTGTATGCTACAGTAAGCCAGGCCAAGTCATTTACTGAATTTAAAAGTTTTTCCATTCAAAGCCAAAAAAGCCACTGGTTCCTTTGTGTTCTCCCAATGACTCAACACGAAGCACCAATTTTACACATTAAGCCATACTTTGCTTAACATAGCTTGTTGGAAAAGCACAACTGTCCACATTCGCATACATGTTAAGTTGTAAACTATGATTTATGAACCACCATAGCTGGATTCATACAACATATTAAACCTAAATTAAACAAAACATGATAGCTTAATATTTGAACCCAGTTTCTCTCACTGAGGCCAGTGGTAGATGCTTCCTCCATGAACATATTCATTATGAAGAAATTTAAAATATATATTCAAAGGCCATTAAAACAATATTTAATAATTTAAGCAGGTCCTTGAAGAATTCTATTTTCTATATTATGAACCATCAAACTATTCAAAGCACAGGATGACACTGTATGCACTTAGATACAAGTGACAAATTTATAAATCTCCATATATTTCGTTTTCCTCTTTTTTTTGGTAAGTTTTAAGTACCAAACCAAAGATGCTCTGTCCCTACCAAACCAAAGATGCTCTTTGCCTGAATATTTTCAGCCTTTTTCCTATTTTTTTCTTTCCATTTTATTAATATGAATAACTAGAATTGTTCATATTCTTGTATGCAGATTCCTTAGAACATGTGAAATTCATGAATCATCATAGGTTACTGAGACGGACTTACCCAATATATCTTTGTGTGTATAATACCGAGTTTTGTAAGGTTTATATTCCCTAATCCGGTCAAAACTCTCTGGTGTAGGAGGCGGTGGAATTAGTTTTGAACAAACAGCACAGCAAACAAATGTATCAAAATCTGGGTTTCTAATCATGATTGCATGTGATCTTTTTCCTCCTCTGAAGAGACTGAAGTAACTGATTCAGATGCGGATACAAACACTTAATTCTTCCATTCAAAGCTGAATTATATTTGGTGTCTCTTTGGTTCTGTGCATGTCAGTAGAATAAATAAGGTGGCTTCAGCATTGTATGACAAGATGGTCAGTGGAAGAGAAAAGGACCACCATTATATGGCAAGGTCTATCCACCTACTTCTTCACAAGCTTTTTATTAAGAAACTCTGGAAGTTACATTGCTATGACTATATCTGAGCCTATGAGTTAAATGCCACCCAATAACTGTTGCTAGGCAAAGTAAGTTTTGCTCATAAAAGCATTTGAGACATCAGTTAATATTACTTAGCATCTTGGAATTTTTTTAAAATAATTCATTAGGTTTCATCTGCTTTTCTAAAACAATGTACATGAATTATTACAGCATTTACTATACAAATATTTAAACCAAAAACTTAACATTCCACTAAGTGGAAATATGCAGGGAAGCTCAAAATATTGAAATAACTCATGGGAACATATTTTATCAGATTAGTTTTATTGCCTTGAGTGAAAAATATCAATCCATCAATCATTCAATACACTAAATCATAAATAAATTACTTTGGAAGAGACTATGGCACAGTTTTCCCTTATTTAATATTTGATATATTAAAAATTTGCAGAGATGGATGACTGTACAAAAGACACATTTTAGAAATGTTTTTTGAGTGACTTACTAAAACACTGATGCTTAATAATAAACTTTAAAATCAGACAGTGCAGTTCTGGCAAGAATTCTAAAGCATCTAGGGCACAGTATAGATAAGAAATAAGTTGCACATATTCTATGTACCCATTTTCTTATGTGCTTTATTCAAAATATTAATCGATAACAGCATTTCAATTTAACGATGGTTAAATTGTAATATTTTTTTAAAAGCATTTGTTGTATAATAATAAATGCTAATGCTTCAGACAAAATTCTGAAAGTCGCCATACAGAAAATCAAATGTCTTCTTCCATGTTGATATTTAAATCAACACTGACAATCAGGGTTTTTTTTAGTCCCATTTTGAAGTCTTGCGCTTCATAAGTCTGTTTCCTTCACTGTCAATAGCTTCATAGAGATCCTTTTTGTTTTCTTGTTGTGCGTGCAAGTACCCAATATAAGCTACACAAAGAGTAACTGTCACAAGGCCAAAAGCCATAACTGCTTTGTTCTGTGAAAATAAAAATAATACGCTTGAAATCCAGACATTTTATTTAATCCATGTTCTAAACTATACCATGCATCTTAAAAGTATTTTATTAAGCTATGTCCCGATGACCTATTTTATTTTCCATCTTGTTCTAGCTTTCAGAGAGAAAAGCAAATGGCTAGAATTAAGGCTTCAGTCCTCCATACAACTGGAAATATACCCCACCCAATACTATTAAATTATTACTGAGGAGAGAGTTTGGAATTACACTGAAGCCACCGTGACCTTTAGGAAAGGTTGAGCCAATGTTGTTTTTGAAAACTACAGCAAGTGACAGCACCAGGGAAGCATCTTACTGATCTTGGAAAAACTAAGCAAGGAGGGATCTGGATAGTAACTGAAAGGGAGACTATTAGGACAGCCCAGAGTTCTAGGCTGGAATGAAATTTTGAAAGGGCATCCTGGAAGAAGGCGGTTGCAAACCACATCTGCACTGTTGCCAAAACAGCAGCATTAATGTATTTGTGCAGCCCCCTAAAAGTCAAGCTTTTTAAAAATCTGTAAAGGCAATACTCCCAACCATCTGTCTGTTTTATTATGAAATGAAAGGCCTGTAAATTGCAAAGAAATGAAATGATTTACTTGATTAAGGTATAGAATATATATATATATTTTAGTTCCTGAGTACCTTTTTTTCCCCACAGACTGTGTGTTCCTTGAGTGTGAGATGTTTCTGTTTGGAAAAAATGGGTCTCGTCCAAAATGCATGCTGTTTTCCCATATATTTTAAATACATTCCTATTCATGACTGAATAGGTTTCATAGTATTTTGTCTGCAAGTCAGTCCAGCTACTGAAATAGCCACTGACTTCTGAAAGCTTAATTCAATAGGCAAATTACTTAATCATAACAGTTTTCCTATTCATGTTTAAAAAATTGAGATATTGTGGCTAAAGAATTTTGATATCATATTATTCTAATTAGCAAGTTACCAACTTAGTTTTTATCAAAACTAATGTTACACCTGAATTAAAAAATGGAAAATGACCAGAGATTAAATATAAATGACCTCTTAAATAACATGTTAAACTCGAGTTTACATAATTGTGATAAACCATAATTGACTGGATTTAGATGAAATGCTAATGATTAACCATAAATCCAAAACATAAAGACTAGGCTCATATATCATATTAAACCAAAACCCAAACAATTCTTTAGATGTAATGGCTATGGCCATGTAACAGACATGCAGGCAAAAAGATGGATGTATTTAAATCAGCTATTCCAAATAATTGCTGTACTCTTACAGGTTTAATGAAAAGTTCTGGATTCACAGCACGGAACAAAGTAGTTGTTTGGGCACCTCGGAGTCCCGGAATTCGATAATCTTTCTTTTTGGGTGCTTCATGTTGTACATCTGGAGGCTGCGGTGCTGAAGGCATCTTACGGTGGCAGAAATATTTGGACTGTGTGACACTTTACTAGTATCCTATATTCTAATTGCAATCTAATTGACAAATAACAAATAATAATAAAAATCTAGGTCTATTATTTCCCAAACCTGGAAAATGCAATGAGGGTTGGTGGGCAAAGACCTTGAATAATTATCCAGCTTTTCTTTCTTAGCAGCTTTCTGTCAAAACAAAACAAACAAAAAACCCTGAGCAAACTATATCATATAAACAAAGAACTTAATCTGGGCCTTGGCATAACATTCCATAAAGCATCAGTAAAATTGTACATCAGGATTCATTCCTGACTATGTCAGGTAGAGTTTCAAACACTGCTAGTCAGTATAGCTAGGGCCAAAGTAAACAGAATAATACATTATTATGAAGGATATTATGTAATTTCCCATTAATCTTAATTTAATAATATGATCCATCCACTTGATAATCCAGTGTTTTGGCCTTCCCCAATGTTGTGTCATCTAAATACCTTGATCTATGACTTCACTAGAATAGGAATAGGAATAGGAATAGGAATAGGAATAGGAATAGGAATAGGAATAGGAAAGAATAAATAGAATAGAATAGAATAGAATAGAATAGAATAGAATAGAATAGAATAGAATAGAATAGAATAGAATACTTTATTGGCCAAGTGTGATTGGATACACAAGAAATTTGTCTTGGTGCATTAGTGGGCAATCGCCTCTTCCACTCTCAACCAGTATTTAAGATGGAATGGAACCCCCTGGAGATACATTTAGTTTCCACTCTCTTAAAACTTGGCTCAGCACATGAACCTGGGTTATCCGCTATCAGATATCCAGTATTTTGGATCTAAAAAAAAGTAGGGTGGCCTAGGCATATGCATATATTCCACATTTGCCTATACCCCCTACAATTCCAGGAAAATACAGGTAGTCCTGAACAACAGTTCATTTAGTGACCATTCAAAGTTACAATGGCACTGAAAAAAGTAACTTATGGACCATTTTTCACACTTGCGACCATTGCAGCATCCCCATAGTCACATGATCAAAATTCAGACGCTTGGCAATTGACTCATATTTATGACAGTTACAATGTCCCAGGATCATGTGATGCCCTTTTGCAACCTTCTGACAAACAAAGTCAATGGGGAAGCCAAATCCAGTTAACAACTGCAATGATTCACTTAACAACGGTAGCAACAAAGATTGTAAACTGGGGCAAAACTTACTTAACAAATGTCTCACTTAACAGAAATTTTGGGCTCAATTGTGGTTGTTAAATTGAGGACTATCTGTAATGCATTTGATGCTCAGAGATGTGTATATTTCAGGGGATGCCACTGAGTTTTAAAACTTGAAGAAAGGTCACATGGCCTATGCTATGCATTTGTGGTAACTTCTTAGCCTCCTTCATCCAAACTAAAGACTATTATAATTCTTCTTCATAGGGGAACTGCTCTAGACCTCTCCTCTATTTATTTTGGTTGCCCTTCTGCATCTTTTTGAGCTCTGCAATACCCCTCTGAAAATGTGATGACCAAAACTGCATTCAAAATCCCACCAGAGTAATCTTTGCTATATATTTTCATTAAATTAGCAATTTTATTTTCAATTCAATTTGACTTCCAATATGGAATCTGCCTTTTTTCACATTGCACACTGGGTTTACATTTTTATCCAGCCGGCCATCAAGATCCTCTTGATCAATCAGTTCAGATCCCGTTAATATATGTAAGTCACAGATGGGATTTTCTTGGACCAACATTCATTACACTTGCTTAACATTGTTATTTAAGCCTTGTGATGACCACCTGCCAGTTTGCCAATGTGGCATTCTTCTACACAAGAGGTCTTCAAACTTGGCAGCTTTAAGACTTTTGGACTTCAACTCCCAGAATTGAAGTCCACAAGTTTTAAAGCTGCCAAGTTTGAAGACCTCCATTCTACACCAATAACCACATACCAATCTTGTCTTCCACCACATCACACCATATAACTCTTTATGTTCTCCCACATTGGCAGCCTAGAGACTCCCATCCACAGATCTCCTCCCATCACTAGCCATCGACAGACAACGGGCAAACTTTTTTTTTTTCCTTTAAGGGGGTTTTTCCTTGGTAAGGAAGAAGTACAGCAGGAAGCGATGAAAACCTGAGATGACTCTCAGTGGACCACCACAATGTCAGCATCTCATTTTTTGGGGGGGGGGGGGGGGGAAATCTGCAAGCTTTCCTGGACTCTCTACAAAGATTTTCCCAGCCTTACTTTTGAGAAAACAAAGTTTTGAACCCGAGATCATCAACGTGGAAAGCCGAAGCACGAGCAAAGAGCTCGCAACTTTTTCTAACCATAGCACGGCTACCAGGGAAAAATCCGGACGGTCCCTGCGTCCGCGTCTATTGTAAGATAGAGCTCCAGTCCAGATCTGGAACCCTTTAGCTGCAGTAGCTCCCTGCTAGCGTGGAGGACCAGGCACCCTCTTCGGTATTGTAGTACGCTAAAAGAAGCATTCCTAGGAAGACAAAAGCAAGGGATCAAAAGTCCTCCAGCTTCTTGCTCACCTCCCTCCGCGGGCAACCTGAGTCGATCCCCCTCTGCTTACATTCCCAACCCAGAGCTAAGAAGGACTGGGGTTGGAGGGGACGTTTTCCGCCTCTGCCGCTCTTTTGGGCCTACTCGAGAGCGCCCCCTATTTTGCGGAGGCCAGGACGACGCTTTGCTTTACAAGCTAGACAGCTGGGTTAGAAAGAGTGAGATCGATTCAAGAGTCTGTAGAGATTCTTGACCACCATTTAGTGATTTTATATTTATTTGTCAAGCATGTGTAAGATAACAGATAAAAGTATAAACATGATTATTGTAAGGTCCCAAAATACACTTGAGTCACCAGAATGCCAAAGAGAGAGACTCAAGACGAGGCTTGCAAAAAAACAGATTTTATTTATGGCCAAAAACAAAATACTGGGTGGAACTATATCCAGAACATACAGATACAATGCATGCGAGGAAATAGCCACACCTTGGGGAAGGTATGGCGTCCTTTTATACCCTCAGAGACATCAGCACCATTCCTCAACTCCGGCCTTGCCACAGAGCCGCTTCCTGCTCGTCCTTCACCATGCAGCTCTGCCCACCTGCCCCATTCCCTGGAGTCGGGGAATGCACCATTCCCGGACTCCTACTGCTCACCTTTCTCCTGCGGCTGGCTGTCAGGGAAGGCAAGCACCCGAAAGGTACCGGAGTCGCTCACTCTCCTTCTTGAATGAGCTGCTCTAGTCCATGCGCCGGCCACGCAAGCACACACCCAACCTGCTGCTGAATTAAATAAACGATGTCCGCTTGTACAGCCGGCGCGTGGACCAGAGCGGCTCATTCAAGAAGGAGAATGAGCGACTCCGGTACCTTTCGGGCGCTTGCCTTCCCTGACAGCCAGCCGCAGGAGAAAGGTGAGCAGTAGGAGTCCAGGAATGGTGCATTCCCCAAGTTCGGGGAATGGGGCGGGTGGGCGGAGCCTCCAGCTGCCATTGCTACCGGTTCTCCGAACCACCAGCCATCATCGCTACCTACTCGCCTGAGCCGGTCCGAACCGGGAGCATTTCACCCCTGTATTAACCCCTCCCAGTCCATCACCATTGATCAGCAACTGTCTTTCATTATATCATTGACCTTTGCACAAAACTTCTGATGTGTCTATTGACTCCTGTTATTTCTAGGCACTTGATTATCCAGACATATGTCAGGGAGTCAAATGTCTCCTTATAATCAATCCAAGCTACATTCAGGTTGGTCTTCCTACTCCTACAGTTTTCCAAAATCACATTGTCAATTAGGAGCTGCTCTTTTATTCCTCTGTGTTTGGTTAAGTTTCCTGTTTGTTCAAGTGGAAAGAGCTTGTTTTCAACTAAATGCTGTTAGACTGCAGCAACTACCACACTAGTTAGCAATTTGAAAGTTGTTGGTAAGCAGGTAACTGGCCTGTAGTTGCCTGATACTACCTTTTTTGTTGGAACTTTCATTATCAGGCAGGTTTTAGTCAAATGTTAACCTGTCTTCAATTTCACCTCTTTGCACCATTTGTTAAATTGCTTGGCAGTGAAAGGATAGCAATAAGTGGGTGTAGAAATTTCAACCAAAACCCATTCAGTTCATCTCCACTTGGTGCTGATCAGTTCTTCCTTGTCCACTTCTCCACCATTTCATTATTATTATTTTCAATTTATTCACCGCCCAACTCCAGTGGACTCTTGGCAATGTACAAAACTTAAAAAAACATAAAGCCAGCTAAAATATTATAAATCAGGAAGAAAGATGAAATCAGGTGGAAAGCTCCAGCAAAATATTCCCATTTGGGACCAGAGTGGGACGATCAGAAATATTCTGAAAACTTAACTGAAGCTTAAAGAAAAGTCCAACTACAAAGGATTACAAAGAGCCTTGATAGTACAGTCGTTTAGTGCACTCTGTTATTAACACAGCTGCCTGCAATTTCTGCTGGTTCGAATCTCTCCAAGGCTCAAGGTTGACTCAGCCTTCCATCCTTTCTAAGGTAGGTGAAATGAGGACCCAGTTTGTGGGGGCAATAAGATGACTTTGTATAAAATATACAAAAGAATGAAGGCTATTGCTTAACGCATTGTAAGCCGCCCTGAGTCTCCGGAGAAGGGCGGCATATAAATCATTAAAAAAAAAAAAAAAAGGATTAAGGCCTGGAGGCACCTGTTCCATGCAAGTGGGACTCAGTCATTCATATGTATCTACCTATTTGTCTATTAAATAGTGTTACAGCAGGTGACCTGACCCCACATCTTCTAGATAAGTTAAATTGCCCTTCCCATCATGCCCAGCAAGCCTGGGCCCCAACATGCCTGCAAACCATCTCCTTCATTAAACCATTTTTTTTCCATCCAGAACAGACGTCTGATAGAAGTTTGAATACCTGAATATCTTTTGTCCTAGGGTTTGATCCAGTAGAATGAATTAAGATTATCCTGTTCCCCTTTTATTTTCTTATATTGGAGAAATTTTGCTGCAGAGCTGTGGCTCAAACCTCTTCCTGGGAGTGACAACGTAATAAACTTGTTCTCTTCTTATACTTATGTGGAGCTTCCAATTGGAAGTCAAAAATTAGCAGACCACTTAGGGAGCCTTCTACAGATATGTTTGGATTCAGACTACAATTCCCAGAATTCCTAGGCAACAACATGGCCATTGCCAGTCAACATATGTAAAGAGCCTGGGGAGAGTAGCATAATCTAAGATTAGCAAACCACACCTTCTTATTTAAACAGAATGTGACATTTATTTGTGTAAATGCAATTCATATGCATTACTTGTTTGCAAATAGGAAAGAATGAAAATGAAGACAATCTGCATTAGTACCAAAGATTCAATGAGCCATCTGTGTTTTATGTCAATATTTAACTCACAGTGCATCCTCTGCTCCACTAACAGTTATTGTTGTGGCAACAGCTTTTATAATGAATCCTTACTGAAGAAAACAAAGAGGATGTTGGTAGCATTCAGCTCTCTTATAAATTCATATAAATCAACAAATCCCATCATGGCCAGGTTCTACAACTCAACACTGATTTGGGTCAAAGATGGAAGCCCAATGCATTTGGCAGACATCAAGTTGGGGAAAACTACATGAGAACAAGCTGAATTTGTCAGCATGAGCGACTGACTGACCTGTTAAAATTGTGTGTTGTGTGTGTATCCTGAGTCACAAGTATTTTTCATAAAACGCAGTAGAAGTGAATGTTTACATCTCGAAATTAAATATCTTATCAAGATTAAAACATTGCTATTTCCGTGTTACCAACTGTTGAAAGAAGCATTAAATTCAATTGCTTGGCTTGCTTTGGTAAATAAAGATTAAAACAAATGAGTCACTAATTAAATAATACCGAACAAAAAGGTAAAGATTGCTTTAAATATCACAGTAGACAAACAGTGTTTTGTTCCATTCGTTTTCGTATAGTTTGATTCATTTTCATATATGTTTACATTGAATAAAGCTACAGGGCAGAAAGTGGACCACAGAGCCAGAACTATTATTCAGAGCAGAGTTAGGCTTCTGTTAGACAGGCTAAAAATATAAATGACAGAAATACAGGTAGTTCTCAAATTACAGCAGTTCGTTTAGTGACTGTTTGAAGTTACAGTGGCACTGAAAAAAGTGACTTATGACCATTTTTCACATTCATGACCTTTGCAGCATCCCCATAGTCATGTAATCAAAATTTAGGTGCTTGGCAACTGACTTGTATTTATGATGGTTGCAGTATCCTGGGCAGTTGTGAAATCCAATTTTTTTTACTACCGGTTCTGTGGGTGTGGCTTGGTGGGCGTGGTGTGGCTTGGTGGGCGTGGCAGGGAAAGGATACTGCAAAATCTTCATTCCTACCCCATTCCAGGGGAAGGATACTGCAAAATCCCCATTCCCTCCCCACTCCTGGGGGAAAGATATTGCAAAATCTCCATTCCCACCCCACTCTGGGGCCAGCCAGAGGTGGTATTTGTTGGTTCTACTCAAAATTTCCGCTACCTGTTCTCCAGAACCTGTCAGAACCTGCTGGATTTCACCCCTGGTCCTGGGGTTATGTGATCACTTTTTGCGACCTTCTGACAAGCAAAGTCAATGGGGAAACCAGATTCACTTAACAACCGTGTTACTAACTTAACAACTGCAGCATTTCACTTAACAATTGTCGCAAGAAAGGTCATAAAATGGGGTAAAATTCACTTAAAAATGTCTCTCTTAACAACAAAAATTTTGGGCTCAAATGTGGTCATAAGTTGAGGTCTACCTGCATGTTATTAATGCTTTGAGATACACATTGTTTGGATAGTCTCTAGCCGTAAGGCTGAACCCAGACTTTAGCATCACTCATTGCACTAAACCATATTGTGGATTGGTTTTTGTTACAAGGAAACACTTGTATATAAATTGTTATTCGTTGTTTAGTATAATGTGTGAATCAGCTAGTTATGGCTTATTTAACAAACCATGCATTTGACTGGCCCCTAGAAACCTACTGACTACTAGTGACACTAACTATAGAGATAGTGAAGGACTCTGCATTTTTACCACCTATTCTTGCCTAAAAGACTTACTTTTCATGTGTTACATGTCTCTTATTGGTTAGTTTGGTATTTTTTTTCAGGGTTTCCATCACTTTCTTCTGCTCTCAGTTTATTTTTCAACACTGGAGGCTTTCGAGAAAAGACTGGGTCTCCTGCTTGAGCAGGGGGTTGGACTAGATGACCTACAAGGTCCCTTCCAACGCTTTCATTCTGTATTAAGTGAAAGATTCCAACTGTTACCTCAACATTTATGCAATACAAAATAGACTTACTTAATTGTATTGCAGAAGGATGGCATTGCAGAATGAAAACTTTTCTATTTGAAAATTGAGCGTGGTAAAGTTATCACAACATTGTCCCTCAGTATGGATTTTTTATAGAATTAAAACAAAACACAGGAGGTTAACAGCCAAATAACCTGCCACATTATATTGCAGAGCTAGATTTGGATCCTGCCTTTCTTCTATCAAGTTCAGAATATTTTGCTCAACTTTTATCTCTTATATGCCTTTGTGAGGTATTTTTGTCTGCACTAGCTCCTCTTCACCAAAAGAGGTCATTATTCATTGAGAATAGGTCAATACGTCCAAGGGTGGCACTAGTTGTCTGTCAACTACTCTTTACCTCAGGTATTTCCAAGCTACATGTCAGTTCTGGTCCACACTAATATTATTTTGAAAATGAAAGAAAACAACAGACAAGGAACTACTGCGGTGGCCAAGAGAAGACAGGCTAGGTTTCTCTTTTGAATAATATAGTAGAAGAAATGATCAGGTTGCACTTACGTGGATTGCACTGCCTAGGAAACCACCTGACTCCATTTTCAAGGCTGGTGACTTTCTGGGAAATGAAAGATTAATTTTTAATGCTCCTGAATTCTGCTGTGCTGACAACCACTAGCCAGTCTGAAGGTAAGTATGTTTTCTAGTGATCTTAAGGAATATGTAGATGTGTTCTTCTAAAATGAGATGTAAATAATAGAATGCCATCTTTGTGGGTAGCTTGGTGGCATGTACCGGTAATTGTGCTAAGCTTAGTGGCACATACTCAGTCAAAACAGCTTAGAATCTAAGTAAATAAACAACAAAATATTGTTCAGTTGATAAGAGGTGTTTGTTTATTGAGTGGGGATTCTAAATAACTTTGAGTTTGTGTCTTTCCTCCCTCTCCCCCTTTTACTTTATTATAAAAATATTCCAATGGTTCTTTAAAAAATGCATTTTAGCATTGTTTGAAATTGCTATAGTAAATAGAAATACTATTGAATAGTATTTGTTGTTCTGTAGTCTTGGAGAGCCTTTTAAATCTCACTAAAAGACTCTTTCCAACCAATAAAGCAGTCTTCAAGCAGAGTTGACTCTTCAAAAGCAGTCTCATATGGAGGGCACTGAAGTATCAAATTGTATGGTGATGAAGGCATGAGTTACTGTTGGTCTGAGTAGGGCCATAATTTATTCATCAGCTGGGCAAAGATCTCTTTAGTCATGACCTCAATCTGGTGCTCAAGCAGGAGCCATTCAGGACCCTTCAAGTTACAGACTGGGGGAACCACACTACCATAATGAGAAACCACAGGATAGCCAGGCTATTCCTGGCTGAAGAATAGCTCCATTTTGCTTGAGCTTTTTTTCTTCTCATCCAGTTCCTTACAACGTCCAGGAGTCAGCTCAATACTTCTATAACATCTTCAACCTGGCCTGTATGGTGATGAACAATTGAATATAATCATGTCCCCTCACCTCAAGCTAACAGGTTTTCCAACTATAAATGTTGAATAACACTGAAGAAAGGACCAAAATTGGGTGGTACTCCACAATAGAAAAACAAGGGCTTGATCTTTCCTCCCCCATAACTATCAGTTGGAACCATTTGCTCTGGGGTGAAGCTAATGCAAGATAATGTCCCAACTCTCCACCCCTCTAGATATGAGAGACTGTGGGAAAGTCAGTGGTGAAGTTCAGTGGTGCAAGAAGAGGTAGCTCAGTCCAGAAGTGAAGGAAGGAACCATTTCAAAGAGAACTCTGGTTAAATTGGTTGGCAATAAGATTTCCTGGACACTTGCTTTTACAGTTTTAAAGATTATAGTTTTACTCTAATTGGCATTAAAGATTCCTTCCTGGAATCTGCATGGCTCTTGCATCTTGACTTTGCCAGCTAGGTGGGGCTTGACACAAGGTGGTCCAGAAGAATATCATGATTAAATTAGCAATGCTAAGAGGTCTCATAGGAGCAGGATATCACACCTCTCCCATCCAGTTCTCAGCAGTGGTCATTCACCAGAGTAACAACTCCTGGTTCTGTCCCAATAGCAATTGCACTTAGGCTTATATACTATTTGATGGTATTTTACAGCACACTCTAAATGGTTTACAAAGTCAGCATATCGCCCCCAACAATCTGGGGCCTCATTTTACCGACCTCGGAAAGATGGAAGGCTGAGTCAACCTACCAGCCCTCAACTATGAAAGGAACCCATTGCTATAATATCTCAAAGGTTTTAAGCAATGACACAATCATGTAGCTTGATTCCTTTCTGCCCTTATTTTTTTAAAAAAAGAGTTGGATTTGGAAAGTGCTTCAAAAGCTTGGAAGTTGTTTCTACTAACTCTGTTGAGAGTGGCAAGAACATCAACATGGTGGTTGGTATAATAGCACTTGACATCTTTAAACACTTCCATCTTGAACCATTCTCACTATTCAGAGGCTTGACAGGGCTCTCATTTATGTAATTTTTATCTAATGTAAATTTTACAGGTAGTCCTTGTTTACCGCAATTGGGACCAGCAACTCAGTCATTTATGTGAAGTGCCCGCTAAGTGAAATCATGACTATGCTTACAATCTTACTTCAGCTTTCCTTTGTTTTACAGACCTGTAAAGATTATAAATGTGAGGATTGCTTGCAAAATTACTTTTTCAACACTGTCATATCTGTGAAAGGTCATTATACAAGGCAATTGCTAAACAAGGACTGCCTGTACCCCCATCTGTTTTATGTAAACACATGGCCACACATATTTAGCCATTTAAAATTGTTATTTAAGATAATGCGCTTGAACTTTTTTTAAAAATAGGATTACAATTTATCAGTTGCATTTTATATTAGCAAAATACAACAAGAAAAATGCAGCTTTTTATTATTGGATGATGCAAGGAGAGAGCATTGTAAATGAGAGCTAAAGTGCTATTAAATGAGAGAACAGCACCCTCTAGTAGCAAAAGAGCAGAATTAAAATTAAATTAAATGTTAAATTTTAAATTCCCTTGAGGCAAATTTCTCAAGGGAAAAAACATAGCCCAGTTGCTTTGGAAAAAGCATCTTTCAGCAGAATTAAAAGCTGGTCTCTGGCAACTACCCAACTTATTTCCCTCAAATACCCTTTGATATTTAAACAGTGGCATTTCATCTAATGCACACTTCCCTTGATTTTCTGTAACCTTTACATCCAGAAATCATCGCATACCTGATTCTGCCCATTTCATAGGTTACTGTTATACACACAGCATCTAGATCTTGTTTTGTACACAATCAAATTCTTTAATTCTCCCATCTTGACTCAAGAGATTCTAGTACTTGAAATCCTATATACCATTTTGTTTTTTAAATGCTGTTGAAAAATCTACCTATTAACCTAATTCCCACATTGACTATATTCCTTATATTCTGGATCTACCTCCCGTATATATTATTTGCTTAAAGAGGATGTGTTGATACCACATATTTCATTTTGTTTCAGTTCCCTGACCTTCTTGAAGGAGAAACTATGAGCTGGGGATTCCTGCGAGATATTCTAAGCGGTGTAAATAAATACTCAACAGAAATCGGCAGAATCTGGCTGGCTATTGTGTTTATATTTCGCCTTCTTGTCTACGTTGTAGCTGCTGAACATGTCTGGAAAGATGAACAGAAGGAGTTTGAGTGTAACATCAGACAACCTGGCTGTGAAAATGTCTGCTTTGATCATTTCTTCCCAATTTCCCAAGTCAGGCTTTGGGCCTTGCAACTGATCATGGTTTCTACACCATCACTTCTAGTTGTTCTCCATGTCGCTTATCGAGAAAGCAGGGAAAAGAGACACCAAACAAAGCTGTATAAGAACCTGAAAAGTATTGATGGGGGATTGCTCTGCACCTATCTCATCAGCCTCCTTTCCAAAATTGGATTTGAAATAGGTTTCCTCTATTTGTTTTACAAGATATATGGAGGATTTGATGTACCCCGCCTTGTACAATGTGACACAAGTCCTTGTCCCAACACAGTTGATTGCTACATATCCAAGCCTACTGAGAAGAAAATTTTCCTGTACATTGTGGTGGTGACATCCTGTTTGTGCATAGCCTTAAATATAATTGAATTCAGCTATTTGATTTTCAAATACTCGGTCAAATGCTGCTTCAGGAATCACATGAAGAAAGTCAGAAACTCCAAAAGTGAACATAAAAAAACAAATTCTATGGCTCACAATGGTACCACTGTATCTCTTGACCAAGATTCACCCAGTATCCAAGGAGGTGAAAAACATTTGGGTCACTTCCAACTATAACAAATAAAATAGCACTCAATTTATTTTGATAAGTTTAACAATAGAGCAGAGGTGTCAAACACGTGTCGTCATGGAGTCGTCACATGATGTATCATAACTTTTCCCCCTTTGGGGAGAAGTAGGAGTGGGTGTGGCAAGTGTGTGATGCATCCGGCCCATGGGCCATGAGTTTGACACCCCTCAAATAGAGCTTCAGATAATAAGGGTCTGATTATGCTCCATATTTAGTTTTTTCAACATATGTGTAAGGTTCATGAAATTTGCATCTCTTGGAATCTCCTTCTAAGGGAGAGGTATCAAACTCGTGGCCTGCGGGCTGGATGCATCACACACTGGCTACGCCCACGCCCCGTTTAGTGAAGGGAAAAAAAGTCATGATACATCATGTGATGACGCCATGATGACACGAGTTTGACACCCCTGTTCTAAGAGATTCATAAGCATTGATATTTCTGATACAGATAATGCTAACTTAACCGTTGATGTAATTCTTTCAAAGCATCTATTTTCATTCTTGATTTTTTTTTCAACCAAAGGGATAGTAATTTAACTTTCCCCATTCTGGCAACCACCAGAAATCCAAGCCAACAAGGCCAAAAGGAATCACTAGAAACCTAGGAGTTGCAGGAAAATTGCTATATTCTATTAAGCGAATCCTCCTTTAGGTCATGATGTCATGAAAAACTGTGTCTAATGATGGGAACCTTATTTTTTCACCCTTTTTTTCAACATGCAACATTTTAGTTTGTTTAAAGACATTTGATTGTATTAGTTTTCACTTAGTTTTCCTGTTGCAGTTATTTATTTCTTCTGTGCATTATTAGCTGGGTATAATTTTAAAGTACTGTATAAAGTGTGTGTACCTTTTTCCTGTCATCTGTTCTTGTAAGTTTGTCTCCCTATCATGGCTTTACTGGTATCTATGTATAATTTATTTGTTAGATTTAAAGGCCACCCAACTTCAAAGTGACTTTGGGTTTACATTTTAAAAGAATAGAAAAACAAAGATAAAATGCTCATATATGTCCAGACAAGGCAAGTTATAAAAATCATACCAGACAGAAATTCAGCAGTCACTCTATCCCACCAAGGACCAGGAAAAACAGCCAAATTCTAAAAGATTTACAGAATGTGAAGATGGAAGCCACATAGATCTCATATGGTGGTCCAGTGGGCAAATGCCAGAGCTTAAAAGGCATTTTTGGGGTCTCAATAGATGGCACTGTTTAATTGGTAGGTGAAACACATCAATTCTGCCCACTCTTAATGGACAGACATAAACCCGCTTTTGTAGGTGATAAGCAGCATCTTGAATTGTACTCAGACATTTATTGGCAACTAGTGCAGCTTGCAGGATAGTGATATCATGCAGGAAGACTGAGGCAGGCCAATCATTGCTTGTGCTACTGAGTTCTGGACCAGCTAACTTCCATGTGGTATTCAAGAGCAGCCACACATACAGCATAATACAGTAGTCCAACTATGAGGTTATTAGTCTGGGGACCCTCCTGATCCAAGAATGGGTGGAATTAGTATAAAACCATACCAGTGTATGAGGGATAAAGAAGGTGTGATGGGGCCTAGTCACATTATACTGGAAAAGTATTCTTAGTAGTTCAACATCTGGAAGGTTCATAAGATTCCCCCTTCCAAGCATTAAAGGGATTCAGTTAAAATCCTGATCTTATGTCCTTACCAGGAAGACTATTTGGTGATTTCAAGGACATGTGGTTTGACAGTTGTTGTTGCCAATTCTTCTTCTTCTTCTTTTTTTGATGACTTTCCAATATCACCTGGAGCCCAGGGCTTTCCTGATGGTTTCCTCCAAGTCCTAATGAATTCTGATCCTGTGTAAGTTTTTAAGATCATCCATAATTGACAAGGTGCTGCCAGTTATAACACCATAACATTAATTTATTACAGGTCTTAGTAAATGGCAGCTTTGTACTTTTTATGTCAGAATGAGCATGCTAGAATTCTAATTAGTATTATAATTCTCACATGCACTAGGGCAGGGGTGGGCAAATGTGGCCCTTTTACAACCTGTGGACTTCAACTCCCAGAATTCCTGAGACAGCTTGGCTGTCCACAGGTTGTAAAAGGGCCACATTTGCCCACCCCTGCCCTAGGGTGTTCAAAAGAAGGGGAGGGTATTTCAGCAATTGCCATTACCAGCACTCTGAAGTTTGACATGATCTAAAGCACGTTACTATGGAATATCAAGCTGAGCTGGAAGTAAAAGATACATCCAAGGACACATCAACCAATTGTGGAAAAAACAGTTCTTCTAATGCTATGATAAATGTCAAGGTCCAGAAGAAAAGATTACTTTTTCAGGACTGTTCTGGCTAAAACATGAAATTCAATTTCATTGTTGTTACATAAGACAGAAATACAAAGTTCTCATGACATGTTCTTCACAGAAATTAATCTAATACATAGAGCTGTAATTAGTTAAACAACCTCTTAATACTAGCTTTTCCCCACTTTTTGAGTTGCATTTAGTTTGCTACATTTACATCAATGTAATGTTTTGTTGAAACAAATATTGCATGTTAAACACAGTGTACTTTTATGCCAGAAGTGTTGTATCTAGCTGTTGAACAAACCAACACCAACACATGACAATAGATTTCCCTCCTCTTCATTCCAAACAGCCTTGGAATTATTTCAGTGATTGAAGCAGCTAATGAATCCTTCCTTCCTTCCTTCCTTCCTTCCTTCCTTCCTTCCTTCCTTCCTTCCTTCCTTCCTTCTCCTTCCTTCCTTCCCTCCCTCCCTCCCTCCTTCCCTTGCAGTTCATTTGAATAATGAACTCTCAACATTTGAGGTTGCATCAGGGGTGAAATCTACTTACCTTCCCAACTGGTTTGGAAGTGCATGCACCTTGCATGTGGACCATCTGCGCATGCGCAAACCCTTCTGTGCATGCGCAGAGGGTAAAAAACAGGTTACTTCCTGGTTAAAACCAGGAAGTAATGACAACCGGGTGGGTGAGCGGAGCCTCACACCATCGCTACCGGTTCTCCGAACCACCGCTACTGATTCGGCTGAACTGGTCCGAAACGGGAACATTTCACCCCTGGGCTGCATAACATGGAATTAGCCTAAAATTTCAAACCTTGCCCTTCACTGCAATTCTGCAGAATACTGTACCCACTATTTAAAGCAGGGGTGTCAAACTGGTGGCCCGCAGGCCAGATGCATCACACGCAGGCTACACCCATCCCAGCTCCTGGAAGGGAAAAACGTCATAAAACATCATGTAATGGCAATGTGACGCAGCGACTTTGATACCCATTATTTAAAGGAACACATAATTCCCCAGAGATAAAAGATTTTGTGGGGGAGCGCAGGGTTGTAGAAATTAAAAAAAAAAAAAAAGCCTAGGGGAATAATCATTCTGTGCACAAAAGCCTTGGATATAACCCAAACTCACAAATCTCATGTATTAAAAGAAGTATTCCTAAATTACTTCCTCCTCAATCCCCCCGCCTAAAATTTTGTTATGTGACAACTGGGGTCAGGTATGTGCCATCTAAGAAGCTTGACTCCTGGAATGGGTTTAGAAGCTATAATTATCTAATCAACTAATTAGGTCTCCCAGCCACCCAAGTTCCTGTGAAAGTAGTTAAACTTGAAGAGAATTGTTTGGTCATGTGGCTGGCACGGAACGCTGTTACCTTCCCACCAAAGGTGGTCCCTATTTTTCTACTTGCATTTTTTACGTGCTTTCGAACTGCTAAGTTGGCAGAAGCTGGGACAAGTAACGGGAGCTCACCCCGTTATACAGCACTAGGGATTCGAACCACTGAACTGCCGACCTTTCGATTGACAAACTCAGCGTCTAAATAAAGCAACTAAGCGTCTAAATAAATTTATGCTCACATTATCCATTTGCAGGCTTAAGACTAGCTCCAAGTAATTACTTCAGCCTTTAACTTGTGCCAGTTTTTAATGCCTCAAATGCAGCTTAATATGGCATTTTGGAGAAGTTAAAAACTTGGGGTTTTTTAAAGCTCTTTTATTGGCTCCCATTAGAGGCTACAGATTTTGACATCCTTCTAGTGGATCTAATAGAATTGTTTTGTGTGGTTTTCTCAATCAATAGCTACTCTACTCTGCACATCTTGTGCGCTCATTATTACAACAATGTGACTACAGACACAGCTTTGGAACTCTAGCTGGAGGAAAGGAAGAAGCTGGGAAAGTAAAGGGTACACAAAGTATCCTTTCTCCTTCTAAGCCACTCAGTGGAACTACAATCATGCAGATTTAGGAAAATGGCCACGTTGAAAATGACCAGGGCGGCGATGGTGGCGGCACATTCAAGGAGAGCAGCTCCGGTAACTTTCGGGCGCTTGCCTTCCCTGGCAGCCAGCCGTGGGAGAAAGATAAAGAGTAGGACACGCCACGTGGCGAAGGGTGAGTGGGCAGCGGCTCCACGGCAAGGCTGGAGTCGGGGAATGGTGCATTCCCCAACCCGGCTGAGACAGGTGGTGAGCAGTCGGCAGCTCCGGTGAATGGCACATCTCTGGGTCCCAGCCCAACCCAAAGTGAAGGGAGAGCAGATGGTGAGAGGGAGGGGCAAGGCCGGAGTCTCTTTCTGGCCGTGTTGCTTCTGCCTGTTGGGCCACTTCCTGAAGCTGGCAGCTCTGCAGCCAGCCGCTTTGCTTTTCCCCTTTTTCCTCATGGGAGGCTTGCGTGGTGGCACCAGCAGAAGCGCTGCAGGGAAGTGGCCCAACAAACAGAAGCGCTGCACTCAGAAAGAGAAGGACAAGAAGGGCCAGTGGGCTGCAGAGGCTAAGGCGGGTGGGCGGAGCCTCCAGCTGCCATCGCTATCGGTTCTCCGAACTACCTGCCATCATCGCTACCGGATCGACTGATCCGGTCCGAACCGGGAGCATTTCACCCCTGGTTCAAATCTGTCCTGCCTCTCTCTCTAAAGAATGTTGGTATGTGTTGGAAATCAGCCTTCACCCAAGCAGATAAAACTGTATTTCCAAATCTGTTTTTCATTGGGCATGCACAGTGCAGAGGCAGTTTGTAGTTTCTTCATAATAAATATTAAAAAACACGAGAGTGATACTAGGGGGAAAACGTTATACAAAAGCACGTTTTAAGAGTCAGGCTTTGTGCAAGGTGTCAGTTCCAATGGGAAACAGGCAAACATTTTTTTCTGGCTGAGACAGACTGTTAACAACCCAGTTTTACTGGAAATTCTTAAGATAACTTTTATTTGTATGCTACAATGATTTTTACAATATTCTAAAAACAGCTCCAGATCTTCAAAACGTCTCTACTATTATGTGAAACGTTTTGTGAAGGCATTTCATTGTTATTGATCTAGAGATGCTGTAAACCATTGGGGTACAAGAGAATGAGGCACCTACTGATTGCCAATACAGTATTATTTACCTATTCTTTCTGTTTAAGTTTCTCTTCTAGATTCTTTAACATACTAAATGCTGTGAGAGTCTTCATGCTAAATATTAAGAGGGCTTTTTATTGAATAGCTGTAGACACTAGACAGAAAGCCTGCAATAAAATCCCAAAAGGAATTTATAATTCAGGACAGAGCCTTATATATTTTTAAAAAATAGTTATAAAATCACCAAATCCTACATTTGCACTACTATTGAAAGGGAAAAATGTTTCCAGGAAAACCAATATGCATTCACCTATGGCACAAAAGCAAGCTTTGGCATTATCCTCATCTATGATGCACAATATGAAAAGGCTGATAATTGTGTGTGTGTGTATCTGTGTAGGGAATGCACAACATATGAACCTTTAGAGCAGGGGTGTCAAACTCATGTCGTCATGGCAGAGTCATGTGACATATTGGGACTTTTTTCTTCTTTGTTAAACCGG